TAGTTATTATTGACTAAACAAACAAAAGGTGACATAAGTAATAGTTCAGAAAATATTATTTACTGTTTTTTGACACAAGTAAGAAAATCTGTCACTGGTTTTTCCTAAAATCATTTCCTGATAGTAGGTCAAGAATCAAAGGCATTGTAAGGCTTTCCTGGTTGAAATGGCAATATGCAGCTGCAGGAATACTTCTTTGGGCACAATAATTTTGGCCTTAATAGCAGGTATGATTTAACTAAAACAGTATGCCTCAGCATATGAATATTAAACACATTATACTTGTAACTTTGGATATGGTGGATATCACAAAAGAAAAACATTCAAATATCATTAAAACGTACCTAAATAAATCCCATCAGTTGTTTAATTTACTATAGCAAGTATCCATTTCAAAGGCCTCTTCAAATTTAATCAGATGCATTTATAATAAATTATTTCAAGTTACTGAAAATATACTGCCAGTGCAGAATATCTTGTCTAAGTGATGTGTGCACATGTTATTTTTAAAAAGCAATTAAGCAACCTGTCATTAGCTGACAAATCGGTCCACAGAGTGATCTGATATATACAACAGCAGCTCGGATCAGCTTATGCCCATCTGCAGGAAAGCATCCCCCATATGCAAAAGGGTTTTGCTAAAAGAATAGAGTGTTGTGTAAGATTCTTATGGCCTACTCACTAAGGCTAATACTGAAAACAAAGGGGAATGTGCACACACCTAACAGGAATTTCCTCAGATAAACAAAAGGCTTAAACACTGGATTCTTATCAGCAAAAGCCAGCAGATGCAGGAAACCCTTTGTGGGAAATTCTGGGCACCAGCTCTGAAACTAAGTCAATTCTAACATTTAAATGGAGGGCAAATCACACATCAACCTAGTTTTCAAAAATAAAACACACATTTTGTACATTTAGATTTTGACTCTGAATATATAAAATATTAATAGGTTTCTTTTACCTGTGTGTTTAAAACTACTAAGACAACACTTTAAAAATTTTGGATGGTAAATCAATTTATTTATTGTATTATATTTTCATAGAAAAAGTATACTAAAATAATAATGAGTCCAAACAAAATACATAAATTAGCCCTTATTGCTTTATAGTCAATAAAAAATATAAATATTTTAGTTCCTTAGAATTGTCTATAAAATATTTTAAGTAATTATAAAACACAAACAAGGGGCCGGCCTGTGGCTCACTCGGGAGAGTGCGGTGCTGATAACACCAAGGCCAC